ATCGATATTTTTAGTAGCCATCTTATAACCTACGAATTATAAGATTAAAGCCGCATTAAAAAGTTCTTTACTTTCATACAAAAACAGGGTATGCGTTCCAGCATTTTCAAAAACCTTGCACACTGAAAAAAGTAATAAAAACTCTCAAAAAGACAAAACCGCTACATCGAAAAAGTGGCTTGAAAAACCGCATAAATTCAAATCCGCATAAAAAGGGACCTATGTGTATATTACTTTTCATAACAATTCAAGTCTATTACATGCGCCCCACGCTTTTCATTTTCAATCTCATAAATTGATTATAATAACTTTTGCTAAAATTTCAAAATCAAAAGATATCAAAACAAATTATATTCATTTATAAAAGCTTGGTATATTAAAAGGTTTTTTTTTTTCTATTTTTAGGTGTGTGTCTATAAAATTTTGCATTAGATATTAAAAAAGTTTAACTTGCAGTGAAAAGAGAACAGAAGACTATTGCGCAAAATACACCACACAAATTTTTGCGTAAATACAAATTATTACAAATAAGATTCTTCTTCGATTCCTATTGGTATTTGCGCAAATATTTGTGTGGTTTATTTTGTGCGTATGCAAGCAAACTGTTTTGTGCTCACGTTTAGTATGTGCATCCATACGAGCACCAATTAATTTCACTTAAAGAAATGGCTTGTCATCCATTTCCGCTGTAGCATATGTAGTGCATATTTTTAGGCGCAATATTTAGCTACTTACGGCAAGGCCTACCGACGAGGTTGATAATCTATAATTATAGCTAAAAATGGTGTCTGGACATGCAAATTGATAAAAACGTTGTAATAAAAAGAGAGTTCTGTTTATATAAAAAAAAATTTTAAATCATACTGCGTGCGGTTAAGTAAAATATGAGTTTCCAACAAAAGGTGTTAAAATTAAGTTTTAACCCGTACATATTTCTGGATAGAGTCGGCACCTATCTAAAAAATTAAAATGAGTGCGATATATCGTCGCTACCATGTCAAACTACCGAATGTGCAAAAATGCATATTGCATCATTTCACTTAACTTACATAATTACGTCATCATGTTAGTCCAAAGCTTATGCGTACACCTTTCGTGTGATACCTATACTGTGGTATTAAATAAGCTTAAGTTTTGAATAATAATTGTTCTATTTTTTAGAAAGGTGGCTTTTAGTTTAGGTGAAGAAAGTTAAATATTTTATTAACCTTTAAATAATTTTAAATTTTCAAATATCTGCCCTAAAATTGTTTACCACGAACCTAAGAAAACATCAAGCAGAATGCACAAAAGAATTAACCACATCCATTGAGCGTTGGTGCGTGATGTGGTTATGAAACCATAAAATAACTAATTTTTGTAGAGTGGCTCAATAAAAAACTCGGACATACATAACATGCAACTTCAAGTTCAAAATTTTCGTAAGCAATGCAAGTTAAATATTTTAATTTTTTTATTTTTCTATTGGGTATTCAAATAGGATTTTAAAAATAACAATGATAATTTACAAATCCATTACCTCCTTGATATAAAAAAAAAGTTAACATACAGCATGCTTAAAATTGGTGTCAAAAAGGAAGTCGGACATCTGGCAATATTACAGTTGTTTGACAATTTTAAAAAGGCAATCCCACAATGAATTTGCTTTCGGTAAAAAGGTACCAAACGTAATAACTTAAAATAAAATATCAGTCGTGTTTTTTTGAATAAAAGTCCAAAATTAACTATGGGTAGACGGCGTGGACAAAGCTCAATCGAAGTAAGAAAATTAATCATGAAAAGGGTAAAACCGTTCGGGAAATCGCAGACGTAGTGGATAGACTTCGTTCGATTGTACACGACGCACAGTGGCTCGGATCGCAAATCTAGCTGGACGAAACTATTTAAACAAATACTCGTTGATGGATCTTTACACCACTTCTTACCTAGGGGATTTTTGGGTCGCTGATTACAAATCTGAAGTCACTTATCAAAAATTCAAAATGGCTTATCCAATATGGCGGACGAAAATAAAAAAAATCGGTAGATTTCTATGAAACTGGGTATCTGGGGGTTTTCTGGGTCGCTAATTACATATCTAAAGTCATTTATCAAAAATTCAAAATGGCGGATCCAATATGGCGGACGAAAATTTAAAAAAATCGGTAGATTTCTATGTAACTGGGTATCGGGGGGTTTTCTGGGTTGCTGATTACGAATCTAAAGTCATTTACTTAATTTACTTCGGAACGAGCATTTTCATCAGATATTTCTTTCAATTTACTAATCACATAATCACGGACACCTTGTTGTCTTTTAGAAGTTTCAGCAACACTTCTCCAAATGTCAAACAACTCACTTCTTAAGATTTTATTTACCATGACTAAAATTTAAGATCACAGCAAGAAAGACAAATAAATTTTAGAAAAAATTTTATAACAGCGCTTAAAGATTTGCATGCCTGTTGTATAATTTTTTAATTTCAGAAAGGAGAAAATTCGCGAGTTACTATTTTTTTTTTAACTCTTACATAACCAAAGTTTTTATAACTCCAAGTATTTTTCTGTTTTAACATACAACCCCTACCCCCCTCACTTAGACTTGGTTATCGAACTTACCCTCTGCATTTGCGAAGGTGTAAAGAATAATATGCAAGTGGTTTTATAACGGCCTTCGGCGGCCTTTACTTTTCCTACTCTTTAATTTATTTTTTTAATTAATCAAAACGACGATTTTTCAGAATAAATTTGCTTATACCAATGTGGACATAAATTGCGTTATGACCTCTGAATCTATAGCGAAATAAGTGTAATTTTTTGTTTATAAAGTCAATTTGCAGTTATACAAATATCTGTGAGTGCAATTAGCAATCATTTAAGTTAAATTTCAGCTTTTAAAATAGAGTTCTCAAATAGGCGGCGTTGACTTACCTTTTTTTGTTTGTTTTCATATGTTAATGCTTTAATAAATGCAATTTCTATTTGAATGTATTGCCAGGAATGTATTCCAAGTACCATTAAGTATTTTAAAAACAAAAAAAATGTTGACTTTCGTCCAGCTAGATCTGCTATCCGAACCACTGTGCGACGTGGTAAAACGTTTCAAAGAAACAAAATGCGTGGAAAAAAGGAGAAATCGGGACGACCAAAACTGGATGCAGATGAACGGTGGATAGTGCAACAAATTAAGAAAAATCCAAATTTAAGCGCTCCTAAACTCTTAACAGAAGTCGCCCAACACCTTAATATCAACTGCAACGAATAGTATTGCGAAAGAATAATTATAATGGAAGAGTTGCATGGAAGAAACCTTTCATCAAAAGAGGTTAACCGACAGAAGAGAATAAAACTTGCAAAGCGTCATGGGGATAAGGATTTCGAGTTCTATAGGGCCGTTTTATTTTCAGATGAAAGCAAGTTCAACAGTTTTAGGTCAGATGGACAATCATATGAGTGGAGAAGACCTAATGAAGAGTTGCTGGAAAAAAAAAGTACGCCCGACAGTTAAACACGGGGGCTGGTCGGTAATGGTATGGGGTTGTATGTTCGCTGCTGGTACTGGAAATTTGTGCTTCATTAACGGCAATATGGACCACAAACAATACCTAACAATTGTGAAAGAAAATTTGGTCCAAAGTTCTGAAAAGTTGGGAATTAAAGACAACTTCCAGTACTATTAAGACAACGATCCCAAGCATGAGGCCCTTGATGCCCGTCTATGGCTTATTACAACTGTCCTAAAGTGCTTGAAACACCTCCACAATCTCCAGACATTAATATAATTGAACATCTGTAGGCTCATTTGGAAAACCAACTGAAAAAGCATGTTATTAGAAACAAGAAAGACCTAGAAGATGTTATTAAAGAAGAGTGGGAGAAAATAGATCCTTTAACATGCAAGAAGCTGGTCGAATCTATGCCAAGAAGACTGAATGCTGTCAGAAAAAATAAAGGCTTGTCGACTAAATATTAACTTATTTTTTTCTTTCTGAAATAATATTTGCCAAACTCTACTTAATATAAATGTCCGAGTTATTTTTTGTCATGTATTATGTTAAGTTTTTATGTTTGCATTTTCTTTATACGTATGAGTTGCAGTTTGTTTATGTTTTGATTTGAAATTATATCACTTGGGTGGCCGAGTTCTTTATTGAGCCACTGTATATAACAGATGGGATTATCGGTTATTAAAACACACTTAGTAAAATTTTTAAGTTAAATAAGCATTATAGTGTTATTTTTTGAAGACTTCTGAAGAGAAATTGTCTTATTTGATCAAAAAATATTTATTTTTAACGATTTTATAGCAATTCTACCAAAACATGTATTTTCCCCATTGAAACTTCAAAGCCCCGGCGGCAATGTTGGGCCACCCTAATGTACATACTTCTTTTTTATTCCTTAAACGATTTTAATAAATACATACAAATATAAGTATATTTAGACATATTTAAAAAAGGAACCCAAACGGAATTTAATTTGAGCTAAAGGCTCAAACAAGAAAACAAAAAAAAAATTTGTAAACATAAAAACTTAAGCCCTGTTTCCAGCTCTCCAAAAAAACAAAAAATTCATATAAAATGTCGCACAAGAAATGAAAAAGAAACTTTCTTTAATAATAATAATAATCCCAACGGTTTTACCCTCCTTTCACGCCCATCCGCTCGAGGGGCGCAGTCCGCATGACGTACGGAACCATTATTTAAATTTTTGCGCCGAAAGGCAGGAGTTTGTTAAGTTTCGAGGTCTAAAACTGTTCAGCTACAGAACTAAATTTATCAGCTGATTTTTTGTCTATATGTTAGTAATTCATTTATTGAGAGGATAGTGTCGCTTTCTTAATGCTTTTACCAAAACTTCTTAAACCAGTTTGCAGTTCTCAAGAAAAAATGCTCGTATTTTTATTTCTTCAAGAAAATTCACTGTGAAAGCAAAGTGCTTTTCCAAGCAACAGAAATAATGAAAAATATTTCTTGTGATTTTTCTTGAAAGCTGGATTCTAAGCTTTGCCCCCAAATTCATAAAAAATAAAGCAACAAATCGAAAATTTTTATGAAACTGTCATTTTATAAAGCTCTTCAAACCTATTTTATTTTTTATGAATAAGGCCATTAATTTGTTGATATATTCAAACTGTATAATAGATAAAAATATTACCCTTTTCCATAATGAAAAAAAGAAAATCAAACTAGATACCCATCGATATTTTTAGTAGCCATCTTATAACCTACGAATTATAAGATTA